GCTTCAGATTTTTGATAAATTTAGTTTGAGCTATAAAAGGAGAGAATCATAATGATAATAAATTGTTGAGGTTACTAATGAGACATACTTTGATCATTATGCGAAGGACTCAATGTGTAGGATGCTACAGTGACAGTCGTTAAAGACATATCCTCATCTGATTCAATTTGACATTCATAGGTGGTGAAAGTCGGATAATAATCAAAACTTAAACTGAAATTATCGGGGTTTATGTTGAAGTTATTGTCTTCACAGGCAGAGCCTTTAAAACATCTTTGATGGCCATCTAGTAACCATGCAACTTTATAGCCACTGTGATAGTTTCCAGGTGCATAGCCAGTACAGTCAAGAACCTGACGTTGTCCCCAAGTAAAGGTTTTAGGTACTAAAGTATTGTTTTCTTTAAATTGACCTAAAATGATGATGAAATAATATTATAGTATGCATAAAACCTGCTTACGGAGGAGTGTTATTCCTCCACCAAAAGCACTGGAACCACATGCATATCGACCTTCAGTAGATCCGTTGAGGGTCAGGGTATAGTTTTGGTTAACTGGAGCCACGGGTGAGTCAGGGTTGGGACCATTTAGATAATATATTCCATCAGGAAAACTGCAAGGAGGAAGGGTAACCTCATTACCATTTCTTGTAGGATTAAAGAAATGTGTGACATCAGCTAAAATAGAGACAAGCAAAACAGCAATTTTACTATTAAGACAAAAAAGCCCCAGGGGGGGGACCGCATTGTTTTGAATGTAACACAAGATACAAATTGATACTGATAGCATTCTTTGCTGTTGTGTAAACACAATCAAATGATTCAAATAGTACAGACTGTAGCCAGTTACTCACCAGTACAGTTGACTCTCTGGTACCCAGTACGAGTACAATCACAAGTGTAATGAGGTGAATGTTGTATACACTGTCCTCCATTCATACATGGACTGTCTCTATCACAGATACTAGTGAAATCACAGCCAGTACAATTAGAATTAAGAGTATAACCATCAGAACAGATTGAGTTACAAGCTAATAATAAAACAGAATAATAATAACAATAATAATCATAATAATAGCAATGGTAATAGACTTACTGCAAGTGAAGCTATAACTCTCAGTAGCAACATAGTTAGGACCTGATGATGTACAGTCAGTCCTAGTAATACACTGACTATTAGCAGTAAATGATAAACAACAATCATCTCCTCCAGTACACCCAGAATTACAAGGATTGTTACACCCTAAATAACAAAAAATTAAGGTACTCATTTAATGTATAAATGCTTCAGTGTATATGTATCTTGTGTATGTGACATTATATCATAGACCAGTTCATCATTCAGCATTAGAAAATGTCCTACAAGTATGAATAATGTTATAGTTACAATCCTTAAACTTATTCATTTTATTGGAAAAGCCAGGATGAGGTTAAAAGGGAATATCACAGTAGCTAACAAGACAAAAGGTGAATGGCCTCACCCCTAAAGCTGTTTGGGAGGTGCTAGACTTAGCTACACAGCCAAGAGTTAGCATGTACGATACAAGACGTTGCCCAGTATTGATACAGTCTGACAGGTATCATTGCTGAATCATGCCTGTTGCTCTGGCTGAACCAGTATGAATAAGTATCAGGTGCTCCCTTAAATTCAAAGCCAATTTATTTCAGCTACTTTTCTTACTACTAGTTACGTAGCATAGTAACATGAGCTCTTTTACTGTATTAAAAATATCATGTAACTGTACGTGATGTCACTGTGAAAGGCACTTGTGTGTGTCATTCAGCTACAACCACTGAGAGCGACACTCCTAACTAGGCATTACCTTTGACAATGAGTTCTGTTCTTGTACTAGCCTCAGTTGTACCATCATTGAAATGGCAAGCAACTGGATAGACTTTTCTTGCATTGCTGTTTATTAAATTCCATGAGAAAGTACAATGGATCTTATAGCTGGTAGAATAGCTACACATTATCATGACATTCATGTCAAGTATATTTGATCTCTTATCACACATACGAATGGTTGGGTTGTCAGTGGTGGTTACATCACAGTCAGCAGAGCTGATAAACTCATTGTCAAACAGGTCAGATACTTCAAAATTAATGTTAGCATTGCTTTGTACTGAAGCAGAGCAGAAGAATTCAACTTTATTCGTGCCATTCTCAACTAGAACTGGCTTCAGGTTTTTGATAAATTTAGTTTGAGCTATAAAAGGAGAGAATCATAATAATAATAAATTTTTAAGGTTACTAATGAGACATACTTTGATCATTATGTGAAGGACTTAATGTGTAGGATGCTACAGTGACAGTCGTTAAAGACGTATCCTCATCTGATTCAATTTGACATTCATAGGTGGTGAAAGTCGGATAATAATCAAAACT